ACCTGAAGGGAGCTGGGAGAGCCGCACCCCACATGTGGAAGCCATAATCTGTACCACCTTTCCTCTTGAGATGTTCAAGGACCTTGAGAACTAGAGCTTGTGGAGGTCACTAGCATGATCAACTCTTGGAGAAAGGTAGGATCGAGGGGTTTGAATGCAGGACTCAGTCAGGAACTCCTGACTCGTGGTCCCAGCAGTGATGCTAGTTTTGTCTGTTATAGCAGAGGAGCTACAGTCACAGAAATCAAAAAAGACAATGAGGGTTGGAAGGGAGCTCAGGAGGTCACATTGAGTCCAACCCCCTGCTCCAAGCAGGACCAGCCCCGACTACATCATCTCAGACAAGGCTTTGTCAAGCCGGGTCTTGAAAGCCTCCAAGGATGGAGACTCCCCCACCTCTCTGGGTAACCTGTTCCAGTGCTTCACCGCCCTCCTCATGAGAGAGTTTTTCCTAATATCCAACCTCAACTTCCCTTGCTGCAGCTTGAGCCCGTTGCTCCTTGTCCTGGCATCTGCCCCCACTGAGACCAGCCCAGCTCCGTCCTCTTTGCAGCCCCCCTGCAAGGAGGTGAAGGCTGCTATCAAATCCTGCCTTGGTCTTCCCTTCTCCAGACTAAAACTCCCGATTCTCTGCTTTGTTGGACTTCTTTTTCCTGAGCTGTGAAGGAGGAGTAATTACTTTGCAGAACCATGTCCAGGACTCAAATCAAATGGAGAATAGCCCTTGTTGGGTATGGTTTGAAGGCCTGGGCAGGTGAAAAGCCAAGTGCTAGTGGGGAGTGAATGTTTTATAGGCAGCAAAACTGGGGCAAAAGATGCTTTAAGCTAATTGGACTAAAGGTACCAGCCGGGAGTCTGACCCCTAGTCCATTTCTGACCTTGATGTATTGCTGCCTTTCGATCGGAGGAGGGCTTGCATGGGACGATAGGACTGCTGATGAAGGAGGATATCTCTTTAGAGTGCCAGAAGAGGTGGGTGAAGGCATGTGTGCTATGTTGGCATCAAGAGGGGAGAAATGATTGGTGACAATGAATGGGGAAGGCTGACTTTGGGCTCAGGAGAACAAGGGTCTGTCCAGCTCGAGGAAGAGCCAGAGGCTCTTTCAACTCCTAAAATACGTGCCATGTAGAAATCCAATAGATGTGACTGCTGCCATTGATTTCTGGGGTCGAGTAACCATGAACAGACTGGTTCAGGGGGCTCTGCTCTTGGCCAGTGATAAATTAGGAGTGAATGGGTCAGAGCAGAGGTCACGTGCTGGCAACCCACGGAGGCTGCAGATTCCCCGGGGTCCTTCCAGGGTCCGCAGAGACGCAGCCTGAGCTGATATTCTCTGCCGTGCTATATTACACCTGACTCCATTACAAGGACATCCAGAGGACTGCAGAGTCAAACCCTCCCGTGCTGGGAAAGGTCCACGAGGAAATGGCCTGTGCAACCTTAGTTCGACCACCGTGCACATGTGAGTTAGGCTGTGGTCTCTAATTGTGGTGCCGCACACTCTTATTTCCACAGCTCTGTTCTTTGCAGGGGGCTGGCTCTGGGTGTCTGTCCTGATGGAGGCTGTCTCTTGTCCTGTTTTCTTTGTTGCACAAGTTGTGGGAGTGAAGCAGGCAGAAGCTGGGATCGTCTCACGGCAAAGGCAGCTGATCGGGGTCCTGGAGAACTGGATCTCTCCCTCCCCCTACTCTAGCCTAGGGTGCTGGGGAAGCTGCTTAAACTAGCATCCTTCATTTTCTGGGTGCCCAGGGCCTGGCTTGCCCTGAGCATTCGCAGCTCTGTCTGAAGTCCGTGGGTTGGGCTTTGTACAGAGATCGTGCTGCTTGCTGCTATGGCCTCTGTGGAAAACCAGATTAGCAGATGCTTTTGACCACAGCCTGTCCGTGTACCACTGCTGCCTCTTTAAAAGGAGCAGTCTCCACCTCCCTGACCTTGCAGGGCTTTGAGTTCATTGTCACAGGCTGTGCAAAGCACCAAGTTGCTCTAGTCGGAGCCACAGAAGTCTGGTTTTGGAAGCAGCGCTGGATTAGTGCGCAGGATCCAGGGTTTGGGACTGTGTGTGTTTAAACATACAATGGACCAGCCGCCTGCGAAGGAGTCCTGGCCAGACTGTGCAGAGATAAGCCTGGGCTGTGCCTACGCACAAGGGGAATAAAGCAAGGTGGCATGAGCTCCCCCAGTTTGAGCGCTTGGTCCACAGTGTTCCTGGTTGTCGAGATCCTCAAAGCAAGCCGAACAGTCAGATTGTGCTGCGTGGCGTCGTATCGACCCCGACGCGGGTCATCAGCAAGGCCGAAACCTTTTGAGCCACACGCAGACCTTTGCCTCTTGAGTTGAGGGAGCCGCTGATAGCAGTAGTAGGTTGTCATCATCTTCGGGAATTGGCACTAGAGGGAGATGAGGCCCACGCTCTGCCGGTGGGTTTCTCCGGGGTTTGACAGCAGAGGATGGCGATGCTAGAGGTGCCCTCGGAGGTCTGGAGGAGCGTGTGTTCCCGTCGCTGCAGACTCTTCCCTTCCGTGCAGATCCAGTTAGCACGTTCGTTCTGGTTTCCACATCCCAATCTCTTCCACCAGTCCCAGGCTCCTTGTCCAGCTGTTCCTTGTCCTCCCAGCTCCTTGTTACCACCTCCCTTCCTCAGCCAGTCCCTTCTCCCCATTTGGTCCTCTCCCACCCCTGCTAACTTAATCCCACCCCCCAGCTCTTTGTTCTTTGTCCTTGGTCTCTTTATTCCACGAGGCTGGTTCCCCCTCGGTCCCAGTCTCTGCTCTGGCTTATCTGATCTCAGTCCTTCCCCCTGACCTACTCCCCTTTTATAGCCAGTTCAGATGGTCTTCCCTCTCCTCAACCACCAGGTACAGCTTTTATCCTTTCTGCTTTCAAGCCAGGACACTTCCTCCTCTTTGGGTCCAGTTGGAGGGTCTTGCTGGAAGAGATGGGCTCCCTGATTTCAGGTTGGCATGGCCTGCAGCAGCCCGGAGCTGTAGTTGCAAAGAAAAGCCTCAGAGGGTAGATGCTGGGTCATATCCAGTGTGGACAGGTCCTTGTGACTGAGAAGACTGAGGAGGGATTTGATAGCAGCCTTCACCTCCCTGCAGGAGGATGGAGCTGGGCTGTTCTCAGTGGGGGCAGACGACAGGACAAGGAGCAATGGGCTCAGGCTGCAGCAAGGGACGTTGAGGTTGGATATTAGGAAAAACTTTCTCACTAGGAGGGTGGTGAAGCACTGGAATAGGCTACCCCCAGAAGGGGTTGGGAGTGACCATCCTTGGAGGTGTTGAGGACCCGGTTAGACAAAGCCTTGGCTGGGATGATGTAGCTGGGGCTGGTCCTGCTTGGAGCAGGGGGTTGGACTAGGTGACTCCTGAGGTCCCTCCCAACCCTGGTTGTCTGTGATTTCGTAACCTTCAGCTGCTACAAGCTCAGAACAGAACGTGTGAGCATTGCAGTTTGTGTGGCCAGAGTCCACAACGTAGCTAAATTTGGGGGGGGGGTTCTCAGGGGCAGCAGTAGCCCCAGCCCTGACCTCGTGGCTATTGAAATCTCCCCTCCTGGGGGGCTCTAGAGCTTTTCAGCACCAGGTCACCACAGCGCGACTTGGGCAAAACACTTGCTCCTGTCTCGTTCTCAGACATGGCTATGGCTGAAACCTTTCAGAAACTGTCTGGCCTGGGGTAGACATCTAGCTTGGCATATTTCGACCCAGCTGGTTAAACTTTGGCAAGGTCTCACCTGCTCAGAACAGCGTCTATTGACGGGAAGCATCAAGCATCGTTAACAGTAGGCGATGCTGCCTCTGGAGGTCCTGTCCAGCCCTACTCGTCTAGGAGTCTGTGATTCACCCAGCTGTGTAGGCCACCTCCACGCTGCTCCACAAAGCAATGGAAGCGAAAGGCGACTGCATCCTCGTGCTGTCCAGGTGCCTGTCTTTCTGAGTTGGGAGACAAGGCTCTTGGTGGAAGGCCTGTCCCATGTACGGCAGCTTTCTAACGGTGTTGCCATCGTGTCCTGGGTTGTTGGTAAGACCAGACCTCTAACAGGGGTGGGGGGTATGGTGTAAAGTTGCTGGCTGTGGAGCATCCCGACTGCTTTTTCTTGGACAGAGGTTGTCAGAGTCGGGCAGTCCAGCTCTTCCCTGGTGCTGTGGCAGGAACCACTTTTGGAGCCTGTTTTTGGCATCCAAACTTGATCTCAAGGAGACTCTGGTTGGCGGCTCCCTCGTCATCCGTGCCCTGAAACTTTGAACAGCCATTCCTGTTGAAGTTAATGAGCTGTTTTGACTTTCAAATTAGACTGACCCTACATCTTGGTCTAAATATCTGTCTTGACATTTCGATCACACAAATGCTGCCGTCCTGGTCATGATGGGGCGCCTGAGATGGGGGCTGTCCTAGCAAAAAGGGAATGGTTTTGTCTTCTCCTGCCCAGAGCATGGACCAAAGTTTGGAGACTCTCCTGCCCAGAGCACAGAGCGAAGCGGGGAGGGAGGGAGCAGAGTGTCCCATTTTGAGACATGGGAAATCCGGGCATCCCGTTGCAATTCAGTGTCTAAAGCCCTTGAAGCGAGCAGGGGTGAAGGATGCTGGCTGTCGCAGGATCTCAGCAGTTGGGGGGGGGGGAAGGGAGAACATTCCTATGCTATGAAAGCCACAAGATCCCCTGGGCAGAAGGAGGAAGCCTTCGAGAGCTTCGAGGATGCGCGGGGTGGTGGCTGTTAGGAGCGTGCCGCGGCTAAGCTCCGCAGCACCGGTGGAAGAGGGGAGCTAGGGCTGGTCAGATCGGAGCAGGACAACTTGGGCAGTGATTTCATGGCTCAGTTGAACTCAGACGAGGCTTTGCTTTCCTTCTCCACAAGATGCACCTGTGTCTCCATGCCTCAGCGTCCCGGGATACTCCTCTGTATGTGTATATATAGAAGTGTGTGTGCCTGTGTGCGCGCGCGTGTAATGTATACGCACACTTATCACCTTTAACCTCTCCTGTTGTTTTGCTCCCTAAGACCCTCTTTGAGCCTTATTCTCTCCCTGCTGGATAAGAATAACTCCTTGAGACTCCATCCGGGAGCGGCTGGGATGCTCTCAGGCACAGGAGCGGAGTCGAGCCCTCTGACTCCAACTGACTGCATGTTTCCCCCGCAGACCTGGCGTTAGGACAGTCACCGTTACATTGAGTACGAGTCGCTGCCCGGCACTTCCCTCTGTGTCAGGGACACAGAGCAGACAGCGGTAGCTGGACACAGGAAATTGTCTTCCTGGAAATCCTCATAAATTAATTTTTTTACTTAGGGGGTTTTTTGGGTCAGAAGTGTCTCCTGAAAGAGGGGAATTTTGCCAACCCCCCCCAGCAAACAAATAAACCCCAAACAAAAGTGTGTTCTGGGGCAATGGGAATCTTCCCTGTCAGTTTAAATTGAAACGTTCGGGGGATTTTGGAGGTGCTTTGGCAAACTCAGGAACCATCATTCCTCCCCTTGGTTTTGTTTTGCTGAGTCCAGCACGTCTGATGGGAAAGGTCTGTCCGCGCTCCTAGACTGCTTTTAAAGAACACTAGAAATCCGGTCCCTTATTAAAGCTGAACGAGGAGGGGGAAAGCTGCCAAAGTTACAACTCTGAGTATGGAAAATCACATAATATTAAACAAAATGGTTGGCTTTTCTTTGCACAATTCTCTCCTGATGCTTTCCGTCACCGCCTTTTCTCCCTGACTGCGAAGGTCGGGGACTTAAGCCTTGTTTAATGCAGATCTGGAAGTCTCTGCTTGGATAGCGAAACCCGGATGGTCCATTTTCCCCTCCGTTTCTGTGCCCTCTCGGTTCCTGGTTCTCTGGCACCAGCAGGAAGCTCTTGGCCTTGATTTAACAGACGAGGAGACTCGATTAGATGTTTGCCGTCCTGGTAACGCTGACTTCAGTGAGTGCCGGGAACATGCAGTCAGCTGTGTCTGTCCCTGCACTAGGCTCTGGAAGAAGGATGGCATAGGGTGTGCGCTCCTCCAGAGTTGCGTTGTTTTGGGTTTTGCTGCTAATCATCCAGCTTGATTCCCAGGGTCCTCCCTCACCCGCCAGCAAAGCCGTGCTCGCTGGACCGTGCGTCAGGTGCCTCTGCCCCACAGCTGGAAGAGCTGCAGGAGTGTTGCAGGAGAGGCTGCGGTTCATTTCTCCTAGGCCGTGCCTCATCTGTCCTCTGCACCCCTGGCATGGGGCGTTCTGAGTGAGCCTTACTTGCCTGTGCCAACGCACGGGAATTGCATGGATGTGCAAGGGGACATGCCTTGAAGACCTCTTTCCTCTCCCCACCTTCCCCACTGGTCCACGGGGCACGAGTGCTCCATCTCCAGCCTTCCTGAACGGCCGCAGGGATGCTTCTTGGGGGGTTAGCAAGAGGAGGGGCTTCTGCTAGACAGGGGCTGGGCTTTTGAGTCGGGGCATTTTGTTGGGGGGAGGTCAGGCTAGTCGGGGTCATGGGCCCAGCTGGTTAAAGCTCCATCACTTAGCAAGCCTGTTCCGTGTAGGAAAGACCAACGCATCCCAGAGAAACAGCCTGGTTTGTGGATCTGGGTTGGAGCCGCTTTGCAGCTCATCTGCCGTGACTGTCACCGAGTCTCGTAAATCAAGGGCAGTGCTCGGAGGAGCCCATAGCAGGGGAGCCTGTGGACCCCAACCCTAAACAGCACCAGCAGAGCCGGAAGGAGGGAAGACCCCGGCCAGCCCTGGGAGCTGGAGGATGATCTCTGCCCCAGCTCACGGAGGTGGCTTCAGAGTCCAGTCCCTGAGCCACAGGCCCGTCTGCAGAGGTTGCAGGTCTTTGTGCAGGGGAGAGCAGGCTGCAGGCCAGGATTTCTCTCCTTTCCCTTCCTCCACTCTCTCTTCTCTGCTTCAAGGGCAAGATCTTGAAACAGGCAAACTCTTGATGGAGGCTGCAGTGCCATTGGGGCCGCTTGGCAGCCAGCTCCTCCATGCTCTTGGTGTTTCCACCTCTTTTCTTGAGGTCTGCTATCAGTGTGTCCCTGAAGGGCTCCTCCGGCCCGCTGCATGCTCCTCGGTCTTCTCCTTTGCCCCCTTAGTTTCCAGGGCACACAGGCCGGGGTCAGGCATGGACAGCCATGGGAGCGTCCAGCCTCGAGGTGCCCCTGGCCGGCCCGTCCTATCCCAGCCCTGTCACCTCCTCTGCCTCGGGTCCCCCGAGAAGCCTTTGTGCAGGGTTCCCGTGCGGGGCGCCCTCCCCAGCATCCCCCGCCGTTCAGTGGCGCTGCCTGAAAGACCCTCGGCTAATTACGCCAGGCTGAAAATTACCACTTTGGCGCGTCCCCCCGCTGCTGGGGCCAGTTGCGCGGGACGTCGTTAGAGGGAACAAAGCCCCCCTGCCGAGCGAGGCCAGCCCCAAGTGGGAAGCTCCAGGTAGGAGCATGGAGTGAAGGGAATAATTACCAGCTTCTCCAGGTGAAAGCCCCGTTAAATTTCAATAAGCCAATTAGGGCTGGGGGGGACCACGGGACAGGGACACCCCCACCCCAAGAAGCAATTCCCACCAGGTAATTAGCAGAAAGCATTTGGGATGAGGAGTCCTGAAGCGGCTGCTTAGAAGCTGCCCCCTCCCCACCCCTCTTCCCCTTTGCTTTTCTCCTGGGGTGGGGAGAAGGCTGACAAAACCCCTTGGTTTCAAGGCCTGGTTCCCCCAGCTCTTTGTGTGGCCTGAATGTGCTGTGGGGGGGTGCGAGGGGAACATGACAATACAGAAAAAGGAATCGCTGGAGCTTTACACCTGGGCAGGCTTTGAAGGGAAGAACAAACCAAACCCCAAGGCTGTAATTCAGAGCCTTTTCTAAGGCTGCATGTGTGGCCCCTGGGGGCCACGGAGGCAGGAGGGGCACCGGGTGCAGGGGGCTGCACCCGCAGCGGGCACAGGAGATGCGGCGTGGGAGGTGAGAGGGAGGTGCAGAGCTTGTGCAAGATGGGTGCTGGGTGCGGAGGGACATGGGGCTGTGAGTGAGCTCTGCCTCACCCCATCTGGGGGAGCGAGAAGCTTAGCAGGTGTCTGACTGGGGGCCCCACACTGCTGCCTTTCAGATGGAGCATGTGCCGTTCCCTTTGGGAAGGAAGAGGAAAGAGGGGAGCTCGGGTTGTCAGGTCCAGGAGGCTCGGCGGGGTATGCAGAGTCCTGCTTTCAGAGTGCCCCGACGAAGCTGGGGTGACTCGGTCCTGAGAAAGGAGCAGCCTGTACGAAGGCTGGCGTTTGCCTGGTGGAGAGCAGAGCCAGGAGGTGACTAGGGCTGGCGTTGATGTCTTGGGGGCCTTCCCAGCCCGTTCCCCAGCTCCCAGGGGCCGAGGCCTCTCCCCAGTCTTTAACTTAGTTAGTCTTAGTTAGGGCGGCTAGGATCTGGAACCAACTTCCAAGGGAGGTGGTGCTGGCTCCTACCCTGGGGGTCTTTAAGAAGCGGCTTGATGCCTACCTGGCTGGGGTCACTTGAACCCAGTTTTCTTCCTGCCCAGGCAGGGGGTCGGACCTGAAGATCTACAAGGTCCCTTCTGACCCTACTTCTACTTCTATGAACTTGGCATGGGATCTTTTGGCGCTCTGCTGCTTGGGGTGTATTTGATAACCACAGCATTGGCACAAGAACTTTCCTCACCCTTTGGCTACCGGTCCATCCTTTCAGGCACAAGCCTTTAACTTGGAGTGGAAAGTGTTGCAGCGTATCACAGTCAAGAAGCAGAGTGCCAGGTAGGCTGGCAACGAGACACGCTCCTTCACCTTGAATGGGGCTTCCCAGCCAAGCGTCACGACTTTGTAAGCCAGCTGGAAACTGGAGTGGATTCCTCCGGCACAGGTGCAATTCTTGTGTTCTTAAAATGAAACCAGGAGGCAGTGGGTTTAAAATGAACAAGAGCAAGTGCCTTTTCACGCAGCGTCGAGTCCTGGAGCTGTGAGGCTGGAGGGGATCTGGGGAGGTTGCATCTAGTACAGCCCTTGCCTGAGACAGGATCAGCCCGGTGCAAACCACCCAGGTTTTCTGCCCCGTTGATAGGGTTTCTGTATGTGCTGCCCAACCCAACACCCAGTGAAGATCTCGAGTGTGACTCGGTTAAGAACGTGTGTTTCCAAATGCAGTAACGTATCTGAATGAGGATTGCTGGGAGGGATTAGCTGCCGAGGGCAGGGGTAAGAAGTAGCAGGGCTGGGAGGCAGAGGATGTGGAGTGGCAGAAGCAGAGCGTGGGTCGAGGTGCAGCCGGAAATCCTTTCCCCAGCCTTGGGGATATTTGAGACCTCTCGGTGCTGTGAGAGGGGGCGGGATGCGGAGATGCCCCTAGGTAATGGCTATTCCGTGCAGAAGACGTTAACTCCTGCAGAGCAGCTCAGGGACACGATCCTGAAGCCTCCCGTCCTGCCGATTACCCGACTCTGCTTGTGTTGCACGTGGCAAGACTCTTCCGCCAGAAGCAGCAGGTTTCATGTGGGCTGGTCCCAAGGGATGTGTGGGGGGTCCTGTCACCCAAGATCCTGTCCAGTGGGATTGCTCTAGTGCATCTTCCTGTCTCAAAGGGCCCCAGGTGTGTGTGAGGGGAGGGGTGGGAATGCAGAGGATGCTCTGAACTGGAGCAGGAAAACACTGGCAGTATTGCAGCCCGTCAGCTTTGGACTCCAAATTTTGTCTTGGAAATTTCCTGCTTGCTCTTTGGCAGTGCAGGGGACTGCCAGCAGGTACAGGGCCGAGGCCGTGCGCTCCCCAGTGCAGCGGGCTGTCCCGGAGCAATGGCTGAGGACGACCGAGCTCAGAGTTGGCACAGACTGGGCAGGCAGTAGAAGAGCAAGACGGCTCGGGTGTGAATTCCCAGCAGAGGCTCTTCGTGCCCTGAGACTGGAGGTATTAGGGTGTTTGCTAGTCAGCCGGTGGGAATAGCACTGGGATCCAGTCCCACACACGACCGGGAGTCTGGCCCGGCACCTTGGAGAGCGGAGGAGACGGCCACAGCGGAGAGGGCTGAGAGCGCGAGTGGCAGGGGACAAGCGGTGAGGAGGTCAAGACAACACTGGCTGCAGTAAACCAGGCCGGGTACAATGAGGTGAGCGTTCCCGCCTCTGACCAGCCTGGAGCCTGACCTTGGATGAGAGGCGGCTCTGTTCCATCCAGGCCTGGGCGCGACGGCTTTT